CGCAACACAATCCTGAGCGTATTTGAATCTATGTGAGTTGCAGAGCTTTATAAGACGTTTCAGAAAGGTTTAACATGACTAGACGGCTACAAACCGTTAAATTAAGAATTAGTAGTCACCCCATGTACTGTGTATTTATTTAAGAGCGACTGAAAATAGAATGACATACATTATATTGTCTTGGAAGTATTTTTTATTGCAACTCTTCCCAAAAACTCGTGAGTAGCAGATATGTCATTTAAGTTAAAATTTGAATCCCAGTAAAATATAGGACTTATAGTCACCTACAGATATTCTCGATTAACAAATACATTTATTTGTCACGACTTCAAATGCCTTGAATATTCGCACACTTTCGTATCGCTATAATAGAAATGAATTAAAATCGATCCGAGATCTTTTCTGCATAAGTAGATAAATTTATTTTTCCAAGGTCGTTTCTACGGAACATAAGTAAAATTTTTCGAGATCTTTTATGCAGATATGCTTAACTAACATTTTCCCGAGATCTTTTCTGTCTTTATTTCCTGCCGAGATTCATTCTGCTAATTGTCCGCGATCTTTTATTTTCACGTCCAAATCGTCTTCGACTAATAAATAGTATAGAAATGTTATATTTGCATTGGCGATCGATAATGATAAAAGTGATCTTATTTTCCGATGAAATTATATACACAGAAGATTCTGACATAACTTAGAAAAACTGCGAAACCTTTAGATCAGATGACGATTAATGATAGTTTTTCGAGCAATAATAAATTGTTTCTTCCGACGCCCTAATATAAATTCTATTCAAAATATGATTACTTTATTTGTAGAACTCTTTCATAAACCCTAGTCAATCATTTATTAATTGCTAGTCAATTTACCATGTCTAATGGAAACACAACAATCAGCTATACGCCAGGAGGTGCTGATGATCCGGCAAATCCATTCCATTATATGCCTTCAATGGGTGCCGCTGTCGTATCTCTAATCTTCTTCATACTATCCTTCATCATTCTCACGATTTGGACGATCTGGAAACGAAGTTGGTACATGATTCCACTCTTAGTTGGATGCATTATGGAAATTGTTGGCTATGGGACTCGCATTCCATTAGTGTTAAATCCCGTCGGACGAATTCTTTTATATGCATGTATGCATGCTTGCCTCATCCTCGCGCCTGTGTTTAATGCTGCGATCGAGTATGTGTTGCTTGGTCGGTTAATGCATGCTGTGGGTGATCATTACTCATTGATCAAACCAAAACTGGTTGCCTGGATCTTTATCATTTGTGACATTATCTCATTTTTTATTCAATCAGCTGGCGCAGGGCTACTTACCACAGCTGGAGCGAATTCGGGAAACGTAAACGTTGGACTGAATGTTCTTCTAGCTGGTCTTGCAGTCAACCTCGTCTCGTTTGCTATTTTTTGTCTACAAGTCTTCTATTTTGACTATCGTACAAGACAATTACCTCCCGCGTTTCCCATCGGTAGTGTCTATCAGAAAGGTTGGCGGCGATTCCTATATGTACTCTATTTCAGCAGCATCCTCGTGTTGATTCGACAAATCTATCGTGTAATTGAATTTGCTCAAGGCTTCACTGGCTATTTAGCAGTACATGAAAGGAAAATATCGAAAATCATGTCATACAGACATACTTTTTCAGCACCAGGAATAAAAGCGCAGAAAAACTGGAAATGCGACTTCTGAACAATTCTCAGTCTATTTTTATGTCTTCGACACTATACCGATTTTCCTGTCCGGTGCAGTCTACACTATTTTTTTCCCTAGCAATGGTTATTTACCGCGGAATGGAAATGAAACTTTTGCTACTATAGAGAACAATGGATCGAATCTAAGCGAAATGAATAATGACAAGAACGACCTCATCTTTCCTCAAAAGGATCTCGTTCGTGATGGAAAGTTTTAAACTGCCGATATGTGACTATAATGATTATTATCGTCTATGTACAGCGATATTCTATTGTCTCTTAATATATGTTTTGTCTATTTCTTGTAAATAAAAATAAATAGCGTGAATCGCATCGATTCACTAAGTGCATTGCCTGTAAGTCGAATGAATGCACTGTTGGTATTATTATTCATTGGGTTGTAACTCGATCTTGTTACTACAGAATTGCCGCATATTTTTTGCGATGAGAACGTCCATATTTTCCATCTTAGTTTACAGAAGCAGTTGCTTTAGCTTTTTCACCGGTCAGAAAAGTTTACCAGAGTGAGTACGTGTTTCGAAGCCAAGTATGGAATAGAAGTCAAGCCTATCAAGTCAGCATCAGTTCACGAGTTATGTGACTCTCAAAAGTTTGAAATAAATTACAGAATATTCATCCTAACTTGAAATGTAAAACTGAAACGATTGACACTCATTCGTGATTCTGTGTATGTACGTCCGTCACACTCATTGGTCACTATATGAGTGATTCTGATAAAAGTAGTACCGTTCGAATGAAGTAAATGATTCCAAGCGTTTCTTTTCTTAGCCTTGATGAATCACTGTCGAACTTCTCGCATATATTCAACAACGTTAGGCTTATAATCGCTGCAAGTACGACTTTTCTATGTTAACCGTGAACGAATTATAAGGAAAACATCCATGTTTGACCGTTATTCTGATGTTGTTTTTTGTGGTGATTCAAATATGTTTGGTTTTGTAAATGTTATTTTCTCTGTTATTTTATGTGGAGCAATATTTTTTTTTCTCTCTTTCTTATAGTATTTTCGCTCTACTCACGAGGGAAGTACCCCAACTGATAAATCGCTTTTTCAACGAAACCGAGTCAAGTCTATCAAGTCAGCATCAGTTCACGAGTTATGTGACTCTCAAAAGTTTGAAAGCGTCATAGCGTTATTTACTCAATTTCTGTAATTCATTGGGTCTCTGTTGTTAGATTTGGTTTTACCTGACCCCCAAAGAACCCCGAAGGTCTAAGAATATTTCGAAATTCCAGACAATGCTCACGGGTCCCTTCGGTCCGCGCTCGCAGCCAGTACAGGTGTTACACGTCCCTGATTACCCAGAAAACTCGAACGCATCTACCCATGTGGATCTTTGTCCGTGACACTCATTAGTGATTCTGTGTAAGTACGTCCGTCACACTGCCACATGACTATATGCATGTACGTCCGTCACACCCATTGGTCACTGTATGTATGTACGTCCGGCTCACTCAATGGTCACTGTATGTATGTACATCCGTCAAATTGCCACATGACTATATGTGTGTACGTCCGTCACACTCAATGGTCATTATATGTGTGTACGTCGGTGACACTGCCACATGACTATATGTGTGTACGTCCGTCATACTCAATGATCACTACATGTATGTATGTCCGTCACACTCAATGGTCACTATATGTATGTACGTCCGTCTGCAGTATTAAACAGTAATAATACAACTTTGACTTCTAAGATATGGACTAGTAGCGATAGGTCTAATGGCGCAACGGCAGCTACTACAGTCCATACAGCATCTGTTAGCGCATTGGCTCCTCTTTGCACAGTTTTGATAACGAATACGCGATGTGTACAAAGTTCTATAAGCTCTCAAACAGAAACAATAGTAGAGGGAAAAAAAATGTAAATAATCAGAGAAGAAATTCATCTCCGCAATCTAGAATAATATCGACAACAAATAATACTCTAATGTGGGATGGAGTAGCATGTCAGACTAATATGAGCTTAGATCCGTGGAAAAATCCCACGTAAGAAATCGTGGAAGATGTTCGAGTATATCGCGAATGGTGGTTAACAACAGATTGTGGAGTAAAAATTCATAATATTAAGTTAAACAAAATTGATCGTTGTACTGGAGAACACGGAAATAATACTAATTGCAAGTATATAGACGGGGGTATGAGCGATTTTATCGATTTCGGAACCATTTGACGATTAATCGCTATTATGCGGAAAATGACATAATACCACGCACATTTAATTTTGAAATACCTGTGCAAATATTTGGAGCAAAGGATCCCTCACTCCGAAAAAGATGGGAACAAATAGCATCCGATATGAGAAAAGCATTTTTGCAATGCGAAGCGGATGCCATTCAAAAGACAATTGATGAGACGAGCCTAAAAGTTGAAACTCTACGAGAAAAATACTAAAAATGAAAAAAGAACAGCAGATCCTGGCTATTGAAAGAGGGACGAGTGAATTTTTGAGCGATTTTATTGAAAAAGCTTGGAATAAAATATTCCGCTTAGCAATGAAAGGAATTGCACCAAATTATGTTTCAATACACATCGATAATGTGCAAGAAAATTCAAAAATGCCCCTGAAGGATCCCGATGGGACACTAGCTATAATATCAAAGGGTGTCAACAAATATGGAAGACGAGAAGAAAAAAAGAAATGTACCGGATGTGGCAAAGATGGACACTTAAAATTCAATTATAATGCAAAATGCGACAATTGTGGTCTAAAAAAACATCATTCTACGGAATTTTGTTGGATAAAGAATAAAAGAGAGAGAAAAAGAGTACAGTGATTCCGATGTGGCATAACTGGCCACATACAGAGGTATTACACAAATGAAAATATGAATAATAGAATGAATGGATATTACTCAATAACTGAGAATCCAATAGCAAAAAATGAAACTATTGAAAATGTACAACATCGAACACCAAGTGTTCAAAATAACACCATGATCGACAGACCAAAGGCAATCGCATCGGAATCAGAATATACTCGAGAAAATGAGAATACTCCATTATTAGTACATCAGCGCCTACCACAATGTACGTGGGCTAGAAATCACCAATTAATAAAACAGCAGAAGCGACCACGACAGCGATTGAATAGCGGTAAAGATCGTTCTGCGGCGGGAGTACTTGGAGAATATAATGGAAATATACGACGAGGTCATTTTAATAGAACGTTCTATCGCGGAAATCCAGATAATAAACATAATCAGACTACTAACTCCGAAATTGCTACCATCTCTACGAATATCAACCCTAATCAATGACTTCTTATAAGAACTATGCATGACTGGGTTCAAACGGCACCAGTACGGGTCTCGAATAGTGTTTTCACTGTGGAAAATGTAGCTCTAGATAGGGATGAAGTAAATATTTTGGAATACGGTTTGAACTTTATTCCCTCAAAAATGTTGAATATGGAGAATCAACTGAAAGCTGATCTGGAATTGACAGCGAACAGATATCCCGAACTACAAATGAACTTTGGCTTAATTCGAGATTCTATAGTATACAATTCAGATCCGTTTAGTCCGAACATGCATAAATCCCAGTATGAGTCATCGAATAACTTAAAACGACGAAACGACATTGTAGTAAAGCAAGCTGACAAAGGTCAAGACATTGTTGTAATGTCAAGAGAAGTGTATGAAGTTAAAACATATGCATTATTAGAAGATAAAGAGAGCTATGAGGAACTTTCTGAGAATCCAATGTAGACAACAGACGAAACTATCCGAGATGAAATCAAAGATTTGATAAAAACAGGGAATATCCCAAAAGAATATGTTTCAAGAATCCGATTGAGGGGCAGAAACTAAGATGCCGGTAATGCAAAATTACAGCACCTCTTATTTTTTGTTTAAACATACATCATTAGATTCGCTTTCTCGTACTGATCACGAATATCTACTTATTTTTTCGATTTGCAAAACTCTCACGAAGAAAAACGGAAAATACTGAGAGGGTCTAAAATTCAACAAAAAAATTGGTTTTCAACAAACAACGTTTATATCTCTGCTGTTACACGTTTCGCTCTTGCGAATACGATTTTTGAATTCCTCATGTAAAGGTGAGTCTAGAAGAGTTATCTAAAGCTTTATCGCATATTACATGTTCAACCTGTAAAGCGAACATTTAATGTCACTCCGTTTTGCAGTAGTCAGTTTTGCAAACCTATCTAGTTTTTTGTACTGATAGGCAGAGCTTCCATTCAAAGGTCATTCGAAGCGCCATTTCACGGGCTAGGATAGTATAGCTCAGACAACTGAGCAACATATAGACAGTTGAAAAATCGAACAGTTTGTTTGTGAAGTAATCTTTTTATGCTGATCTTGTGGATCATCTGTCAGACTACGATTCATTGGGTCCTGTATACCACTTACCATATTCATAATAATTAATAAAAAGCCATATCGAAATTACAATTTTGCAAGAAGGAGATAGTTGTTTCATCAACAAGCTGTTCGTTTGTTCAACTCCCTATAATATGCTCAGTTGTTGATGACTTGTACCATGGAAAAACGTTATCGATATTGCCATTTATTAAAGCACAAACGAATTCTATTTATAGTCTCTGCTGCTGCACACCAGTTGTAACATTGGTTCATTGGTACATGACATGGCTCATTGGTACATATTTGTACCATCAAATAAAATCCAACCGTTTGGAAAGTTATAGCACTATTTTATTTTTGACTTAATCGTACATCATTCAATAGAGAATTTCACGCTGATCAAGAATATCTAGTTTTGAGCCTTCCCAGTGTGCATTATCGGTGAAAAAATTCAAAAACTTGAAGAATCTCTTTTTCGAAAATCCACTAAGCTTTTCTAAAAACTGACTAAGCTGGTTCCACCTTATTTCGATGCCGTGAAGCTATGTTTTCTTATTCAGCGTTGAAAACTGCATCTAGAAAACTATATTTCAAGGTTCCACACCAAAAAATGATTTCTGGGCGTGAAACGGGACCGTTATTTCTCCGGTTTCGAGACATTCATCTTGCAAACCTATCGCAGCTCTTTGGCTACCACATGAAGCCAACTTTCATACACCATTCGCTTCGCCTTCAAACGTAGAAATAAAAGGATCGCTCTTTTCGACAATCGTTTTCATTGCGAATAGAAAAGAATTCCTTTTTTCTAAATCTGAGGCTGCAAAAATCGTCGTTAACAATCTTTTCTCAATCAGAACTCAACTTCTATGTAATACAAATATCACATTTGGAATCAGGATCAAAAAAATAAGTCAACCAATGTGTATTGCTATCCTATGCGGGTACTTTAATTTTTTTTCGAATTTTCACGTCGAAAAATCATCGAGAATTTTACTAAAAAATGAAAATGAACTAAAAATTTCGAAAACATATCAGTCGACTCAGTTTTTGATCCTGATTCCCGATATATTTTTATTTGTTCTGATTCAGAAAATTGAGAACTTTTCTAAAAAAGATATTCCTCAAGATTTCTGAATGTTTTTGACTGATAATGTGCGTGCACTGGGCAGGCTAAAAACAAGATATTCTTGATCAACATAGAATTCTCTATCGAATGATGTATGATTAAGCCGGAAATAAAATGGTGGTATAACTTGCGCCTGAAAGGAGTAAATAGAAAAGAGTCATTAACCGAAATAGTGTCACAAACACATTTATTAGCCTGTGTTCGTCATTCACATCACGAACAATACTATGGAGTAATGTATCGAGGCGAAGTTAAGCAGCAGATGCCTTCTGCATTCATATGCAAATCTGAATAGAAATACTTCGTGGAGCAAGCGACCCATTTGATCCTCATGAATTGAAGAAGGGATGGGACATCCCTTCAAACAAAAGTGGAAATACTATAACATTATCCTTTTGTACAGTTCTGTACTTTGGTTACTAAGCTATACCAAGATGGCGATGATGATTCGTTAGTTTTACAAATAATATAAATAAAAAGTTCTTTTGTTTAGCTCCCTATTTCGGTTTTAATTAAGTCTGCGCGGTTTTAGTAATCTTTGTGAGAATTTCTTTCAATTTTGAGATGTTGACATATAGATAGTTAAAAATAAATTTAAATGATCTGATTGCGATTAATGATGAAGCACATAGTGATAACAAACAAGTTTTTCATGTTTTTTTCTTTCAGACGATAACATTGAACTGATGCTGCTTGCTTGTAAATCTCTTAAATATTTTAAATGCATTTGTGTATCCGGTCGATGGTATAACAAATATGAAAAATATTAATGTTGATGGTAAAGATGATATGAAATAACCTGTTAAATTCAAATATGATACTTCGCGGGATTTTACACATACATTAATAAATGATATAATTAAACGTGGTAATGCTAATAGAACCGTTCTCAAACAATAATTCAGGAATCGATTTCGGTTTTGCATTATATCTTTTCCGGAGTCAGCAAGTTTGAAACTCTTTAAGTTTCCGACAAAACACTTTCGAAACCGATTTCGATTTTCTATTATACCCTTTTAAGATATAGGTTTCCGATAAAATAGTTCGGAAACTGAAAAGGTACTCTCGGATGTCAAATCAATTCTTCCGGATAAATCGGTGTCCTAAAATATCCTAACGGTTCTCGAAAAGACCTTTTTCCGAGATTTCGGATACCAAGAAGGTATTTTTGAGAATGCTTTATGCGATGACGTCACATACTCATACAACAGTGAAAGAAAGAAAAGAAAAGAGATGATGGAGATATGATGATGCCACCTAACATGTTCTGCAACAAATCAAAAGCATAATAGTGAAGGTGAGAGCATGTTAGCAGGAATAAAAACACACACAGTATCGGTGACCCGACAGGAAGGATTTACGTGCTCATCTTGGGATGGCTTGTCTCGCACCGTGAGCTTAGAGATAGTTAGAAAGCCGAGGAGATAAAAACAAAGGCGATGGGTAGAAACGTTGTTGACAAGAGTAAAACAATGGAATGTAAGTAAGCGTTCAGCAGCTCAAAAATGAATTTTCTAGAAGGGGGGATTCGCAAGTATGCAATAGTCACACGCAAAAGAAATACATATTTGTTGGGGCAATGTAGTCATCACTATGCAAAGCAAAGTTCCTGCTAATCAATATTGTATATTGTTCCCTCTCATAATACACACACATAGTTTCCTCATTTGTATTTAACAAAAGCACTAACGAACTAACAAAGTTTGCATCGATTTTTGTGTATTATTAACGGAAAGGATGTTCAAATCACTTGTTCTTTCATCATTTTTTACATTAAAAGCGATTTTGCTTAATAGATACAATTTACTAAAAGCTTTTCGTTGACCTTTTTCTCCTATTAGATGCGAAACAAATGTGAAAACGGTCTCAATATGCAGTCATTAGTACCGATACTTTCACTTTTTATACGAATGTGTACTCAACATCGTCTGTTTCTTTTTTCCTCGTTTGTTAAACGAAAAGAAAAATATATATTAGCTAAGGGAAATAAAATGTTATCCTAATTCATTTCGTTAACGAGACCACGCCCAAAACTATTCTACCACAATTGTGAAACATATATTAATATTATCCGTACTTATATACAATATCCGTTATAAATTGCGTGAACATAGCTTCATAAAACGAAACAGTTCGCAATAACCAACAATTTTATTTTTTAGCACACCACACTCAATATTCTAAATAAGTAATATATATATATATATATATACACAACAGTGAAAGAAAGAAAAGAAAAGAGATAATGGAGATATGATGATGCCACCTAACATGTTCTGCAACAAATCAAAAGCATAATAGTGAAGGTGAGAGCATGTTAGCAGGAATAAAAACACACACAGTATCGGTGACCCGACAGGAAGGATTTACGTGCTCATCTTGAGATGGCTTGTCTCGCACCATGAGCTTAGAGATAGTTAGAAAGCCGAGGAGATAAAAACAAAGGCGATGGGTAGAAACATTGTTGACAAGNGCTCATCTTGAGATGGCTTGTCTCGCACCATGAGCTTAGAGATAGTTAGAAAGCCGAGGAGATAAAAACAAAGGCGATGGGTAGAAACATTGTTGACAAGAGTAAAACAATGGAATGTAAGTAAGCGTTCAGCAGCTCAAAAATGAATTTTCTAGAAGGGGGGATTCGCAAGCATGCAATAGTCACACGCAAAAGAAATACATATTTGTTGGGGTAATGTAGTTCAATAGCTACGAGTTCTTTTCATAAAGATTAGTCTGTGTTAAAATGAATGCACTGATGATAATAGAAAAGAAAAAGAAACAGAGAGAGGAAAAGCAAGAAACAAAACAGAAAAAGAGAAGAAGGAAGAAATAGAACAGAACGTAATGTTGTTCGTCGACTTTAACGGGAAGATGACTGACTCATACACCGAAGGTACGTACTGCGAGGACGCATACACTGTGGTTTTCGTTCTGCACTGTGTTATGGGAGAAGAAGTACTTTTGTGACTCATACGTTTTGCAGCTGAACTGTAAGTCAGAAAAGTATTTTACCTTAATCATACAGTGCAGAACGAAAGGGATACTATAAAAAGGAAAATCTCGCTCTGTTGCTCATTCTACTTTTAGGAGTAACAGGATTGTTTTGTTTCTTAATGCTTCTATATACCTCGGGAAAGCAAAAGCTACAATAGGTGTTTACACTGTGTTATCGAGAAGAAGTACTTTTGTGACTTATACGTTTTGCAACTGAACTGTAAGTCAGAAAAGTATTTTACCTTAATCAAACAGTGCAGAATGA